CCTTGAAGGTCCTGTTATTCCTTGATGCCTTAAATATCAAACTGAATGTGATGACCATGCTGACGTTCTCTTCTTTAGACTCATTCCCAGTGCCTGTGTGAACAGGTCCACTTCATGTATACCATTAACCTCTTAGAAATGTGAAGAGATGGGAGTTCCCTGGTGGTCTAGTGGTTAGGATTCTGCACTTTCACTTTCATGGCCCAGGTTCAACCCCTGGCTGGGGAAATGAGATCGGAGACGTGGCCAAAAAAAAAAAAAAAGAAATGGGAAGAGATTACAAAACAAGCACATGTTTTTCTAACTTTTTGTATATGAGCTCATTTCAATACGAGGTCATCAGGGAGAAGAAACTCAGAAAAAAAAGGACAAAATGCAAATTTACCAGGAATTAATATAAAATCCTGTAGCTGGGTTCAAAGAACAAATTGCACAAATAGGTGTTTGGCTGACATTCACATATACATTTGGGTATTTGCATTATCAAGTCTGACGTGAGCCAACAGCATAATATATGCCCTGTGCTGTAAAGGATCCCAACGGCAAAGACAGACTGGAAGCAACTTTACTAAGGCAGTGGCCAAGTCTGAAAATATGAAGTCAGCAGTCTTGAAAGAGATCAGGCAGAGCAAGGTCAGAGAGACCAAAGGCAAGAGACAGCTCAAGGTTGTGGCAGGAGGTCAGCAAGAAAGCAAAATGAGGGGATCAGTAATGTCAGAGCTTAGAGATGAGTAAAAAAGAAGGAAGTGGAGAGGATTGGGGTGGGGAATGGCAGTCAATTCAGCAAACAGCTGTTGCTGTAGCGAAGGGTTCCAGCTTTTCTTTTTCTTTCTTTCTTTCTTTTCCCCAACATTATAGTCCCAGGCAGCTTCCCAGCCCCTAAATTTCTCCATGCCCTAGAATTTGTCCCTCTTAACCTAACCTCAAACAGTTAAAGTTTTCTGATTTGTTTAAAGGGAAGAATTATCTGCATTATTTCATGAGCTTTCAGAGCCCGTATGTGAAGCAGCTACCTTTATTGCACACTACTCTCCAACCTTAGCTGGCTCTTTCCTTATTTCCGGGTGATCAGCCCTCCCACACATGCCCTGGTCGTTTATTCCCTGCCTCTGCTAATGCTCTTGTTCTTTCCTGACTTCCTTTCCTCTGTCAGTTTCAAACACATCTTCCTTGCAAAGGTTTATCTCAAGTCCAGTCAGCCCAATCTACCTTCTCCTGCCCCATTCTTGTTCCCTTCTCCCACAGCCTGTAGAACAGAATATGGCTCGTATGTCATGGGGGTGGGAGTGGGCAGGAGGTAGTTCCCTCGGTGTAATTATTAACTGTTTAAGTAGTGTATAAGCTTTGAAAAGAAGAAACTATGTCCTACAGAGACCACATGGTATAGGAGAGAGTTTGGAATTAGGAAAAAAAAAAATGGTATTCAGTCCTGGCTCTGTGACCTTTGGCATATACCTCTCTCTAGGCCTCCGTGTCCTTCTGGGAAAAACAGGGATAACCATTCCATGCTCTGGCTTCCTTAAACAGGCAATCAGGTGTTTAGGTCAAGGTCACAGGAAAAGTACTCTAAGAAAGTGAAGGGTTATCATAAGAGGTGCCTTGTAAAAAAAAGGCAAGGGAATTTGAGAATCTGAATTCTGAGTTAGATTTTAATTCCTGCTCTACCGCTTACTCAATATGTGGCCTTAGAAGTTTCTTACTTCTCTCAAATGAAAATGACACTATCACAAAGATTATGGTGTTGATGCTGGTTTATATGCCAATTTCTAAGAGCCAGCTGTCAAATATTTAGTAACTTTGCAAGCAGGTTGTTAAGCTGTTGTTATTAGCTTGAAATCTGCCTTGGTGGGAGTATTTATACCAGGGAAATGGACAAACACTACAAATCGGATTGTTGGGTTTTTTTTATTCTGGAGAGTAAACACATCGGTGATTATGTAAACGGGGCTCTGTAAATTGTAAAGCCCTTTGTCTTCCTTACCATTAAAAGTAGCAACGGTGGGCTTCCCTGGTGGCGCAGTGGTAGGGAGTCCGCCTGCCGATGCAGGGGACGTGGGTTCGTGCCCCAGTCCCGGAAGATCCCACATGCTGCGGAGCGGCTAGGCCCGTGAGCCATGGCCGCTGAGCCTGCGCGTCCGGAGCCTGTGCTCCGCAACGGGGAGAGGCCACGGCAGTGAGAGGCCCGCGTACCGCAAAAAAAAAAAAAAAAAAAAAAGTAGTAATGGTAATAGTAATGTCCTGTACCCATAGAACCTAGCCTAGTGCGTGGTTCTAGCATTTATTTAATAAAAACATTTTTAATTTAACTTGGTACTGCTCCTAGCATGCATTTAATAAAAATGTTTTTAATTTAACTTGGGTTCACCTTTGTATTATTTTGATACTTCTGTCCCTGAGCTAAAGAAGCTCCCATGTTTACCTCTCTTTAAATTCCTCTCTATAAAGTGTCTTTTTATTTTTTTTGTTTTTCCTTTTTGGCCACACCGCCCACGGCATATAGGATCTTAGTTCCCGGACTAGGGGTGGAACCCGTTCCCCCTGCAGTGGAAGTGCAGAGTCTTAACCACTGGACCGCCAGGGAAGTCCCTAAAGTGTCTTTTTAAAATCAGATAACATAAATAAAAATCTGGTTCAGTGCATGAAACACACAGTAGGCGTTAAACCGTCTACATTTATGAGCTAATTATCTTCTTTCTAAAACTTCTTCTCTTCTGATATTTCATATCTCAGTTAATGACATTGTCCATCTATCCATTATCCCAAGTTAGTTATCTGAAAGTACTCCTCTCCTGTCCTTTTCCTCACCCACCCCCATGTTTTATCAATCACTAGATCTTACCAGCTTTACCTCTTAAAACCTGTCCCCTCGTCTTCATTCATTGCCATTGCTACTGCCTTGGTGTCCTCATCATTTCTTACTTGATCTCTCCCTCCTAACTGATATCTTGACCGTCAGTCATTCTCCTTCAATCCAACCTCTATTTCTATGGGTATGATTTTAAATTACAAATCTGACCAAATCACCGCCTTGCTTAAAATTCCTTAATGACTCTCTGTTGTCTTGAGGATAAAATCTAAAAGCTTTAGCTTGCCATACAGGTCCACCATATTCTGACCTTGGCCCACCTTTTACAAGAGTTATCTCCTACTGCTCCCCATTACTACCTGGAACACCTAGTCTCACTTCCCTAGCAATCCCTGGTCTCAGTAATGAAGATGAGAAATTAATAACATAAGAATGGTCTATTTTTATTTGTAACCCCCAATATAGGATACTGTGGCTCCCCGTCACCTTCAGAATAAAATCCAAATCTCTTAGCCTAGCATACTTACAATCTAGCCCCTGACTCTCTCCAATTCTTATCTTTCTCTGTATATATACATATAACCTACATTCCAGCCACTAAGATATCTCATCTGTTCCATATTTTCATCCCTCCATGCCCTCGTTCACACTTTCTCCAAACCTGTAGTACCCTCTTCCTCTTCTTTCACTCACTCCTTTCCTGCCTGCCCAATGAATTTCTACACTTCCTTCAAACAAATCAGTAGTTACCACCTTTGGGCAGCTATCCCTGAAACTATCCCTCCCTCTTCTGTGCTCCCAGAGCACTTGGTTAAGCAGTGTACAGTCAGTCTTTGTTGGTCTGTCTTTTGCCCCCTCTGCAAGATCATCTTTATCCCGTGCCTCTAGCACATCCACACTCTATATTAAGATACAGAGTGAAAGAAGGAAGGGCTATTATATAGGGATTTGCAAAGAAAGTAAATTTCTGATAAGAGACATGCATTGAATAAGTTTAAGATTGATTTTGCATGATCTGGTGAATCTAGAACAATTCTATGTCTTTATTTTCAGGGGGTAGGTGGCTCTGAGAAATTGGTGCTAATGGACAGATCAGAAGCAAAGAATAAGTTTAAAGAGCTGCGGCTTGGTCACATTGGTCCAGATTTGGTGCAGTACAGTAAAACAAAATTTACATCTTAGGAATTTATCTGTCACATACACAAGACATTTATCTACGTGCCTTAATGAATGCCTTAGAAAGTAAAGCAAGGTGCCAGTAGACAAGACACTAAAGCAAACAGAAGATATCAGCAGTGACTTATAATAACACAGAATGTAGTTTCTAACAAAAATATACTTATACCTTTGGGAAGAGAAACAATTTTTTTCTGATTATAAATATAATATATATTTCTTAGTCTGTTCAGGCTGCTATAACAAAAATACCACAGACTAGATGGCTCAGACAACAAACATTTTTACTTCTGACAGTTTTTTGGAGGCTGAGCTGAGATATCCAAGATCAAAGCACTCACAGATTTGATAATCTGGTGAGGGCCTGCTTCCTGGTTCATAGACAGCCATCTTCTCACTGTGTCCTCACATGGAAGAAGAGGGAAGGGAGTTCTCCGGGATCTTTTTTATAAGGATTTAGTATAAATGGGATTTTACTAATCCCATTCATGAAGGCTCCACCATCATGACCTAATCACATCCCAAAGGCCCCCACCTCCAAACAGCATCACAAATGAGTTTCAACATGTAAATTTTGGGGGGACACAACCATTCAGTCTATAGAAACATATTAATGCAAAATGCTTAGAATATCTCGAAAAACACAACATAAATCCCTCCCAAATCTAACCACCTAGAATTAACTGTTGTTAATTCTTTGGATGTATCCTTCCAGTCTTTTTTTCTTGTATATGTGTTTGTGTATCCTCTTAAATAATAAAAATTTTAAATGGCTTACATTGTATATATTTTTGTAACCTATTTTTATATTAATATGTCATGAACATTTTCTCATGTTAGTAAATACTCTTCTACAACATGATTTTTAACTGCTGCACAGTATTCCTTCATATGGATGAACACCACTGTTTATAATCAATCCCCCTTGTTTCAATGTTTTTATTATTATAAACGGAAGTGTAGTGGTGTGGATGACTAAAGAAAGGGTGATCTCACGACCTCCTCCTGTTTTCCCCAGGTTCTGAAGCCCCCTCTTACATCAGAACTCTTTTCTAATGATCCTCTGAGTGTCATCTCAGGACCCTGGGCACACTCATGGCACGATGGCCAACCCTCAGGAGCACCTGAGCTGCTCCCCTTCCCCACACTTGCCTTTGAGTGAAAACAAAACCTTCAATGGACTACAAGATGACATCGCACCTATGCGAAGCCACCCTTCACCCAAGCTTCTTAAGGACCAGCAGGAAAAGGGGGTGGTGCAAACAGAGCTAAATGAGGGCATGAACAGCCCCATCACCACAACAGTGTTGACAAGCGTAAGTGAGGATTCCAGGGACCAGTTTGAGAACAGCGTTCTTCAGCTAAGGGAACAAGATGAATCAGAGATGGCCATGTCTCACGGGAACAGCAACACTGTGGATGGAGAGGGCACGAGTGGAACCGAAGACATCAAGATTCAGTTCAGCAGGTCGGGCAGCGGCAGTGGTGGGTTTCTTGAAGGACTATTTGGATGCTTAAGGCCTGTATGGAATATCATTGGGAAGGCATATTCCACTGATTACAAATTGCAGCAGCAAGGTAAGCTAGAGTATGGACCTGGAAGATATTTCCTGTGTAAACGCACTACCACCATTAACTGCATAACCTTTGATAAATTAAAGACCTAGTGCCAGAAGAATACCCCATATCAATTTCCTATAGACCTTCTGAATGGAACAGATTGACATATGGTTGGTCTTTTTTGGTCGAAGCCCACCTTTTGTGGTTGTACAGTCCAGTGGTGTCCAGAGTAGAGTACATATAAGACAATCCATGACGTTGTGAGGAAGAAGATGTTGGAGCTTCTGTTCCTTTTATCTCATCATTTAAAATTTTCTATTTTCATGCATGTTTTCATATATATTTGGTATTTTAGTAAAGTTTTACAGATATATAATTTATAAATAAATCACATAGTGAGTGCATATTCAAAAATTTTATTGACAGTTTTTACAGTCAAAAAGTCTGATGGTCACTGGACTAATTCAAAACCAGACGGAAGCCACATGGTACTGCCCCTGAAGATTGCAGGCCTGCCTTAGGTAGTAGTAAAAAGGAATTTTTTTATCTTACAGTCAGGCACAGAAAGCTCACATTTTGAGGAAAGAACAAAATATCTAACCATTCTTGAGAAACATTATTATTTCGAGATCCCACAGCTTTTTAAAAAGTAAAAATTTAACTCCCATCATTGTGTAGTATGTATATTCATATACTCCAATTCAAGCCTTATGCTTTTGAAGTAAAGAGAACACATGGCACTAGTGTCCTTTATAACTTCATTTATATTGTTGAAACAATTTTTTCCTGAGAACAAAAGTAATATATATAGAAATTTTGGAACATACAAGTAAGTTCCCCCCCAAAAATTAAAATAATCTATGATTCTCCCATCTCCTGACAATAACCACCATTAGTGTTTTTGGTATATGTTAGTCTATACATGTGTGTATGTGTGCTTAAAAAAAGCCATGCTGTTCTGTAACACTTTTTTACTTCATACTGTGAACATTTCCTGTATCATGAAATATACTTTTTCAGCATCATTTTTAATGGCTGCATAATATTAAATTGTGTTAACATACACAGTTCAAGTAATTGTAATTAAGTAATCCTCTGTTTTTTTCCTTGTAATGAGAACTCTTAGGGTTTACTGTCTTAACAGCTTTCATGCATTAACATAAACAGTGTTCATTATATTTATCAAGTTGTACACCACATCCCTAGTACTTACTTATCTTATAACTGGAAGTTTGTACCTTCTGACTGCCTTCATCCAATTCCCCCTCCCCTACTCACCACTTCTGGTAACCACAAATCTGATCTCTTTTTTTGTGAGTTTATTTTTGAAGTATAATTGACCTACAACACTATATTAGTTCCTGGTACACAACATAGTGATTTGACATTTCTGTACATTTCAGAATCATCACCATGATTAGTTACTGTCACCATACAAAGATGTTACATAATTATTGACTATATTCCCCACACTGTACATTTCATACCCTTGACTCATTTATTTTGTACTAAAAGTTTGTACCTCTTAATCTCCCTCACCTACTTCTCCCCTCCCCCTCCCTCCTTCCCTCTGACAACCACCTGTTTGTTCTCTGTATCTATGACTCTGTTTCTGTTTTATTGTGTTTGTTCATTTGTTTTGTTTTTTAGATTACACATTTAAGTGAAATCATATAGTATTTGTCTTTCTCCATCTGACTTATTTCACTTAGCTTAGTGTCCTCCATGTCTGTCCATGCTGTCACAAATGGCAAGATTTCATTCTTTTTTATGGCTGAGTAATATTCCTGTGTGTGTGTGTGTGTGTGTGTGTGTGTGTGTGTGTACACCACACCTTTTTTGTCCATTCATCTACCGATGGGTACTTAGATTGCTTCCATATCTTGGCTATTGTAAATAATGCTGCAGTTAATGTAAGAGTGCAGATATCTTTTCTAAAGAGTGGGGTTTTTTTGGGTTTTTAAAATTTTTTATTTTTTATACAATTTTTAAAGATTGCTTTCCATTTACAGTTATTACAGAATTTTGGTCATATTCCCCATGTTGTACATTACATCCTTGAGCCTATCTTACACTGAGTAGTTTGTACCTCCCATTCTCCCACCCCTCCCTCCCTCCCCACTGGTAACCACTGGTTTGTTCTCTATATCTGTGAGTCTGCTTTTTTGTTATATTCACTAGTTTGTTGTATTTTTTAGGTTCCACATATAAGTGATATTCTACAGTATTTGTCTTTCTCTAACTTATTTCACTAGCATAATGCCCTCCATATCCATCCATTTGCCGCAAATGGCAAAATTTCGTTCTTTTTTATGGCTGAGTAGTATTCTGTTGTGTGTGTGTGTGTGTGTGTGTGTGTGTGTGTGTGCGTGCGTGTATCCAATCTTGTCCACTCATCTGTTGATGGACACTTAGGTTGTTTCCATATCTTGGCAATTGTAAATAATGCTGCTATGAACATTGGGGTGCATGTATCTTTTCAAATTAGTGTTTTTGGTTTTTTCTGATATATACACAGGAGTGGAATTGCTGAGTCATATGGTAGTTCTATTTGTAGTTTTTTGAGACACCTCCATACTGTTTTCCACAGTGGCTGCACCAGTTTACATTCCCACTAACAGTGAACAAGTGTTCCCTTTTTTCACATCCTCGCCGACATTTGTTGTGTTCTTTTTGATGATAGCCATTCTTTCTGACAGGTGTGAGGTGATATCTCATTGTGGCTTTGATTTTCATTTCCCTGATGATTACTGATGTTGAGCATCTTTTCATATGCCTGTTGGCCATTTTCTTTTCCTCTTTGGAAAAATGTCTGTTTAGTTCTTCTCCCCATTTTTTAATCTGGTTGTTTTTTTGATGTTGTGTTGTATGAGCTATTTATATATGTTGGATATTAATCCCTTATCAGCCATATCATTTGCAAATATTTTCTCCCATTCAGTGGGTTATCTTTTTGTCTTGTCAGTGGTTTCCTTTGCTGTGTGAAATCTTTTAAGTTTAATTAGGTCCTACTTGTTTATTTTTGTTTTCATTTCCTTTCCTTTAGGAGACAGATCCAAAAAAAATATTGCTGCAGTTTATGTCAAAGAGTGTTCTGCATATTTTCCTCTAGGAGTTTCATAGTATCTGGTCTTACATTTAGGTCCCTAAAGAGCGTTTTTGTTTTTTTTAGATAAATACCCGGGAGTGGAGTTGCTGAGTCATGTGGTAGTCCTATATATAGGTCTATTTTTAGTTTTTTGAGGTATCTCCATACTGTTTTCCATAGTGGCTGCACCAATTTGCGTTCCCATCACCAGTACCCAAGGGTTCCCGTTTCCCTACATCCTGGCCAACACTTGTTATTTGTTGTTTTTTTGATAATAGCCATTCTAGCAGGTGTGAAGTGATATCTCACTGTGGTTTTCATTTGCATTTTCCTAATAATTAGTGATATGGAGCATCTTTTCATGTGCCTGATAGCCATTTGTATGTCTTCTTTAGATAAATGTCTGTTCAGATCCTCTACCCATTTTTTTTTTTTTTTTTTTTTTTTTTTTTGCTGTATGCAGGCCTCTCACTGTCGTGGCCTCTCCCATTGCAGAGCACAGGCTCCAGACATGCAGGCTCAGTGGCCATGGCTCATGGGCGCAGCCGCTCTGTGGCATGTGGGACCTTCCCGGATGGGGGCACGAACCCGTGTCCCCTGCATCGGCAGGCGAACTGTCAACCACTGCGCCACCAGGGAAGCCCTACCTATTTTTAATCAGGTTGTTTGTTTGATGTTGAGCTATATGAGTTATTTGTATATTTTGGATATTAACCCCTTATCAGATATAGCATTTATAAATATCATCTCCCATTCAGTAAGCTGCCTTTTCATTTCATTGATAGTTTCCTTCACTGTGCAAAAGCTTTTTAGTTTGATGTAGTCCCATTTGTTTATTTTTGCTTTTGTTGCCCTTACCTGAGGAGACATATCCAAAAAATATTGCTAAGACTGATGTCAAAGACCATACTGCCTATTTTTTCTTCCAGAAGTTTTATGGTTTCAGGTCTTACATTTAAGACTTTAATCCATTTTGAATTTATTTTTGTATATGGTGTAGTCCAGTTTGATTCTTTTGCATGTAGCTGTCCAGTTTTCCCAACACCATTTATTGAAGAGGCTGTCTTTTCCCCATTGTATATTCTTGCCTCCTTTGTCATAGATTAATTGCCCATGTAATTATGGTTTCATTTCTGGGCTCGCTATTCTGTTCCATTGATCTATGTGCCAGTACCATACTGCTTTGATTACTGTAGCTCTGCAGTATAGTTTGAAATCAGGGAGCATGATACCTCCAGCTTTGTTCTTCTTTCTCAAGATAGTTTTGGCTATTTGGGGTATTTTGTGTTTCCATACAAATTTTAGAATTATTTGTTCTACTTTTATGAAGAATGCCATGGGTATTTTGACAGGGATTGCATTGAATTCCTAGATTGCCTTGGGTAGTATGGTCATTTTAACAGTATTAATTCTTCCAGTCCATGAACACGGTATATCTTCCCATCTGTTTGTGTTGTCTGCAATTTCTTTCATCAGTGTCATAGTTTTCAGAGTACAGGTCCTTTACCTCCTTAGATTTATTCCTACTATTTTATTCATTTTGACGCAATTGTAAATGGGATTATTTTCTTAATTTCCTTTTCTGATCGTTAGTTGTTAGTGTACAGAAATTAACATATTTCTGTATATTAATTTTGTATCCTGCAACTTTACCAAATTCATTGATAACTTCTAGTGCAATCTTCTATTGCTTAACAATTTGTTTACTATTTTCAGTGATTATAAGCCACACTGCAGTGAACGTGTCCATTCCTTAATTTTCGCACATATCTTGATTACTCCTTAGGATAAATTATTAGAAGAGGAATGCTGGGTTCAAAGGATTTTTTGCTTTAAAGTGTTTGATACATATCTTTGCAGCCTTATGTAAATGATCAGTTGTTATGAGTTCTTTCATCAAGAAATTTTATAAAGGAATAATGTGGACCAT